AAGGGGCTGAATGTTTTCCCTGATAAGCAGAAAAGGGCTATCTTCAAAAATTGCAAATAATTGATTTATTTTAAAATATAGAAACATTAAAGGATAACATAACAAACACCTATGTATACTTCACTCAGATTTAACACAATTTGACAGTTTAGTATATATGCTTCAGTATTTTTGAAAAAAATAAGTAATATATTAGACATTTGTTTCCAACAATATATATAACAGATACTCCAAAAATCAGGCTGTTGGAAACAACTAAATATAGTAGATAAAATATTTAAAAACAACTTTCTAAATGCATGATGATCTCTCTCAAAAAAGTAATGAATACTCCAAGACCAAAAAAAGTGACCATAGCAATGTAAAAATAAGTGAACATTCAGGGTGTTTCAGTCTAGGGGTATTTGTTGAACACTAATATCCATAAGCTTCCATTTAGATGGGTGAATGGAGTCCCACATGATATCAAGACCTCAAAGTCACACAATGTCAACATCATGAACAGTATAATCACCACTGAGAGGGAATTTTATGGCCTCAAATGCTTAGTTGAGGGGGGGGGGGCGTGAAGAAAAGAAAACCATGAATACCATTCATCCTATTAGCCAATTAAAGGGGAAAATAATATATTTAAAAAATCTTGCTTGAGAGTCCAGATAATTTCAACATCTTTTCATAATTTTAAATATACATTGTTGGCAAACAAGGAATAAAAGAGAACATTCCTTACATGATAGAATGTCTACCAAAAACCTACAGTAAAAAATAATATTTTTATGGTGAAACATTGAAAGCTTTCTTTCTGGGAGTAGGAAAGAAGATGCTTGCTATCACCGCCTCTATTCAACATTTTAAGTTATAGTCAGAAGAGTAAGACAAGAGAAAATAAAAACTACAAGGGAATGAAGTGTGAAAATGAAAAGAGAGAGATGGGGAGGGGGCAGGAGGAAAGGAAAGGAGATAAAAGAAAAAGAGGAAGAAAAACTGTTATTATTCACAGGTGATATGATTGTGTACATAGAAAATCCAAACAATACATCAACAAATTACAATTTAGTAAAATTGTATGTATGTATCGTGTACAACATTATATTTTGAAGTATGAATACATTGTGGAATGAATAAACCTAGCTAACTGATGTGTGTATTATTTCACAGTATTACATTTGTGTTAAGAATATGTAACATTTTCTCTTAATAATTTTTAAGAATACAATATTATTAACTGTAGTCACTATGTTGTACAAATAGATCTCTTGAACCTATTTATCAGATTTAACTAAAATTTTGGATCCATTGACCAACATCGTTCCACCACACCCTCTATCCCCCAAGCATCCCAGCCCCTGGCAACTAACATTCTACTCTTCAATTTTATGAGATCAACTTTTTTAGGTTCCACATCTGAGTGAAGTCATATGGTACTTTTTTCCTGTGCCAGGATTATTTCACTTAATATCCTTCAGGTTCATCATTTTGTCACAAATAACAGGCTTTCCCCCTTTCTTTATGGCTGAATTTTTTATATATACCATGTTTTTCTTTATCCATGCATCCCTTGATGAACACTTATGTTGATTCTATATCTTGGCTATAAATTATGCTACAATGTACAGTGCAGATATCTCTTTGAAATACTGATTTCATTTCCTTTGGATATATACCAGCACTAGGATTGCTGTATATATGGTGGTTCTATTTCTAATTTTGTGAGGAACCTCCATACTGTTTTCACAATGGACGTACTAATTTATATTCTCACCAACAGTGTTCAAGGGTTCCCTTTTCTGCACAACCTTACCAATACAAATTATTATCATCTTTTTGATAACAGCCAATCTAGCAGTTAGAAGATGTCTCATTATGCTTTTAATTTCATTTATCTGATTATTGGCATTCTGAGTATTCATTTCATATACCTTTTGGCTACTTTTATGTCTTCTATTGAGAAATGGTTATTCAGGCCTTTTGTCCATTCTTTAATCAGATTATTTGTTTTATTACTATTGAGTTGAGTTCTTTATATATTTTGGATATTAATCCTTCATCTGACATGTGGATTGCAGATATTTCTTTCCCATTCTGTAGGTTATCTTTTTTTTTTTTCTTGAGATGGAATCTCACTCTGTGGCCCAGGTTGGAGTACAGTGGCACGATCTCGGCTCACTGCAACCTCTACCTCCCAGGTTCAAGTGATTCTCCAGCCTCCGCCTCCTGATTAGCTGGGACTACAGGTGCATGCCACCACATCTGGCTAATTTTTTGTATTTTTTAGTAGAGGTGGGGTTTCACCATATTGGCCAGGCTGGTCTTGAACTCCTGACCTCGTGATCTGCCTGCCTTGGCCTCCCAAAGTGATGGGATTACAGGTGTGAGCCACCGTACCCGGCCAGTTATCTCTTTACTCTGTTAATTGTTTTCTTTGCTTATATAAGCTTTTTAGTTTAATGTAATCTCACTTATCTATTTTTGCTTTTAACGCTTGTGCTTTTAAGGTCATAGCCAAATAAGCATCACTCAGAACAATGTCATGGAGCTTCCCCCCATGTTTTCTTCTTGTATTTTTAATATTTTCTCTCGTGTTTCTATTTCTGCTTAACATATGCTGTCTCAATTAAGCTTCATATCAGAACTGAAAGATATATATATGTATCTCCATTTTTCAGAGAAGGAACTGAGCTAAAATGTTATGAAACTTTCTCACAGGCATTGACTGGTGGAGGATGCTTTTAAGCCTAATCCATAGGATCCTGAAGTCAGTGCCCTTTTTACAACACTGCACTTGCTTTCCTTTATGTAGGTAGTGTGTTCAAATGGAAGTGACAATACGTTGGAGAAGAAAAGACAGAAATACACATACAAACAATTTAAAATAATTACTATACAACCAAGTATCCATATGAATGGTAAAAACATTTAATGATACATGAATTCAAAAAAAGAGGAGATTTTTTGGCCTATTTTGTATGTCAATATTTGTGTACTGAGAAAGTTTTAGACAATGAATAATTCTCACCTATAATATTATCATCTAGATCATTAAGAAAAGGCAATTAAAGTTGTCTAACAGTTTTAAGGTAGTTAAGGTTCATGTAACTGCATGATTATCTATTACATGCCCCTGTTTAAGACTCATTCACTGTTAAAACAGGCATCTGATTAAGTACCTACCATGTACAAAATTTATTAACCATAATTTTCTGTTCAGAATGGTTTTGGTGGTCTCAAAGTTGCTAAAATGCCTTTTTGTAAATACTAGGCAGAGTAAAAAGGGCATCAAATTGGTGCCAAAACATTTGGCTTTAAATTAATGCTCTGCCTCTTACTATTTAAGCAATCATAAGCGAGTTATTTAACCTCTCTGAATCTAGTTTGCATGAATACTAAGTGGAGATAATAGCAACTACCTTTCAGTGTTGCTGTGAAGATTGAATGAACTTACGTATGCAAAGTGCCTGGTGTATACTAAGTATCCATAAAAATATGACAAGAGTAACTATGGAAATATAGAATGTTCAGTTTCCCTTTAGCTCGCAGTGTCCAAGTCAGTGTATTATCTTTGTTTGTCACGGTGATAGAAGCAGTGACTTCTTCAATCTCAGGGAGGTATCAGTGCTCCATATGTCAAATAAAATAGTACTTCCTTCCCTTTAGATTAAAAAAGCTCAGCAGGTGTGTTTCAAATGTATGAAGAGACAATAGCACACTCTCCTCCTGGAGGCTGTGAAATAGCACATAGTTCTAGGGAGGAAACAATACTGCAAGCATCAAAAGCATTATGGTCCTAAGGACCAAGACTCCTTAGGCACATCTCAGTCTCTCAGTCAAACAAGTTTATGCTCTCATACCTGAGCTCCCAGCAGGGCTTGGGAATTGACTAGCCCTATGGCAGAGATGAAGCAAAAGAAAGTCACTATTTCCATGCGGAAATGCCCAGAGTGCTTCTTAGATAGGCAGAAAGGTAAGGATAATATTATCTTTTTTGGAAGTTTTCAGGGATACATATTGCATTTTTGAGATAATAGAGATACTTCTTGCTTAACGTATAAGAGGGCATCTTCTGTCTACAATACAGGATCACAAGGAGACTTTGATCAATGTAATTTTATCTGAGGTGTTATCTGACGCAAAAGGAGAAAGGCTGAAATTCTCATTCTCTAACATAAAATTGGATACAAATTAATTATACTCTGTTAAAAAGCCTTGAAAAATATATCCCTAAGATGAGAAGAAAGAAGAAAGCAGCTTCAGTTCCTCAGAAATGCCTTTAGGAAGAAATCCTGAACAGCAAGCACTAGTTTTCCATTGAAGAAGAGCCTGAGCATTCTGTATCTCTTAGAGGGACAAGAAATGCTAAAGGAAGTACATGGTTTCCTGGTTTCAGAACACAGTTTATAAACCCTATACCATTTCTTTAGACAGGGATGGTTAGCTCAGGCCACCAAAGGAAGGAAGGAGACCCTCCTTTGAAGGAGAAAGTTAACCTAATAAAGAAAACCTTAGGAAAGACTTTGGAACAGGAGAGAGTCCTGAAGTTGGGATTAGAGTTGAATGTTTATAAAGGTGGTTTTGAGATGATGAGGAAGAATATATTCAAGACAAATTGGAAGCTTTCAGTCAACCTGACAATTGTCATGCAAATCAAAACACTGAGAGGTAATATAAGGATGCTTGTATAGCCATCTGGATGAAGTGAAAAGGATTATAGATAGAGGAGCAGAAAGAGCTCTGCCATTGTTGCTACTGCTGTCACTGCTTTACCTATTTCAATTTCTTAAATCCTCAGTGAGATGATCCTGTGAGAGCCAGAATCCTGGTATTGCCAACTGTTAGCTACATAAATTAAAACAAATTATTCAAACTCTCTTAGACTCAATCTCATAATATGTAACACAGAGATGATAATAATCCTACTCATAGGGTTGTAATAAGCATTACATAAAATAAGCTCAATAAATGAGGGCTTTTATTAACGCTCCCACTAGACTTGTTCCTCAAGTCAAAGTTTCTTGTTCAAAATTTCTGTACCTTTGTTATTCTATGAAGAGATGCATGCAGACTATATTTTTTTAACGAGAAGATTTATCAAGGCACAGTATAGATAGCTTTTACTACTGAGCTACTTAAGAGGAAATAAAATAACTGGAATAATGAGAGAATTTAAAAATTACAAAATTGTGGTGGAAATCTACTGCCTTAAAGCTTATTTGCATGCTAGATATATAATGAGGAGATAAGTTTTACAAACTACTTATGAACATTTTTTTCTCATAACAGTAATTATCAGAACAGTTTATTATCTAAATATTATGTCTCATTCAGATGGCAACCATAAAGAATCCCTTCAATTTGATTCTTCCCTTCAGTGAGTAAGAAGAAAGCACTAAGCACAAATGCTGGTCTCAATTTTGTAAATATCAAGCTACCAACAGATTTTTTAATCAAACTGGCAAAATCGATGTAAAACTAACAGATCACTCTGGATATCTACTGTCTTCTGCTGATTCAAACTGACACTGGTTATGAAAATAATTATCTAGGTTTTGTGCAAGTAAAATACAATTTTCAACTTCAGTTGAGGCATTTGAGAAGAAATAACATATGCATACATTTGCATGCACACATATGCAAACGTACACACAGAGACACTCATACTCTATACAATTTTAGGCCTGGATGCCTAAGTAAGCCAGAAGGCAAAATTGCATTACTCAGAGCTGCTGCAATTTAGAGAAAAGATAGGGTTTTTGAGAAAGTGATATTGAAGAAAGTATGGGTTGGGAAAGTGGCAGAAGGTAAATGATGGACAAAGTTGGGGGTAGAAGTCATCCAGAGACATAAAGCTCAGATGAAGGGAAGTGGGAATAGAAAAAAAATGCTATAGTTCTTACAGAGGTCTTACCAGTGCCTTCTTAAGGTATTCAACTCAAGCAAATAAAATAATCCATCCCTCTTCCATTTTTACAATACATAAAAGATTTTTTAAAAAAAGAAGAAAATGAAAACTTAAAGAAATAGGAAATATTTAGTCTAGATCAGCAGATTGGTGGTAAAGAAGAGGAGACCATGAAATTTGTAATCCTTTTTTGTGTGCACATTTTCTATACTCACACTTCTGTTCACAAAATTGAGCATATAATTTCAGTGGACGTATAACTGGGCATATAATTTCCATGAGGATCTCAGGCTGGAAACCAATGTTTTATAGGAAAGAATACCAAATAGATTTATCACATACCCTGTAATATTAATGTACTTATTAGTTTCCCTGCCTAAATTAAAACAGGTGGAATTTAAAGTATATTTATAAGATTATAATAATTCTCAAATTATAAATGGAGTTTATCAAATTTTTACCTTTCACTTGGTGCTTGGAACTAAGAATGTATATCACCCAATACAGAAATTGCATAAACAGTATTTTGGCTCCTAGACTTACCCCTCCTCACATACAAATTCTCCAACGTTACAGTTTAGGCCTTTATGCTGCTGAAACCATCAGAATACCAAATTCAGACAAATAATTATTGAACTACACACACACATACAAAATAAAGAGTGGGATAAAAAAGGAGAATAGAAGCAGAAAAGGTTGACTTTCCAATTTGGAGGTCAATTTTTTTTTTTTTTTTTTTTTGTAGGCAATGTTATTAGGTATAGGTTTTTATTGCCCTTTATCTCTTGAAAACTAGGGTCTCAAGCTGAGTTATATGCCCTCACAATAAACATGTTGATATAGGTGTGTCTAAATCTATGAATCTCCAAAACAGCTTTTCTTTCTTTTCTGTTAAATTTAAAAAAAAGAAATTGCACATTAATAAGATAATTCACCATAATCAGGTGAGATTCATTCCAGGAATGCAAAGATGGTTCAACTTATGAAAATCTGTAAATGTAAAACACTGCATTCACATATCAAGGACAAAACCCATGTGATCATTTCAATAGATGCAGAAAAACCATCTGATAAAATACAACATCATTTTATGATAAAAACCCTCAACAGATTATTTATAGAGGGAAATCACCTCAGCACAAAAAAGTCCTTATGTGACAAACCCACAGTTGACATCATACTAAATTGGAAAAAGTTGAAAGCTATCTCTTTAAGATCTGGAAAAGACAAGGATGCCTACTTTCACCATTTTTACAGTAATTAGTCAAGAGAAAGAGATAAAGAGTATCCAAATTAGAATGGAGGAAATGAAATTATCCCAGTTTACAGACAGGACAATCTTACATATTGAAAACCCTAAAGACTCCACAAAAAAACACTGTTAAAATTAGAGTCAATAAAGTTTCAGGATACAAAATCAACAGGAAAATTCAGGAGCATTTCTATACACCAACAGAAAAGTGAAATCAGGTGAACAATCCCATTTACAATGGCTATAAAAAAAAAAAAAAAAAAAAAAAACAAAAAAAAAAAAAAAAAAAACAAAAAAAAAAAAAAAAAAGACACCTAGAAATAAATTTAACCAAGAGGTAAAAGATCTTTACAACGAAAAATGTTAAATATTGAGGAAAGAAATGGAAAAGTAGCAAAGACTTGGAATTAACTTAAATGCCCATCAATGATAGACTGGATAAAGAAAATGTGGTACATAAATACCATGGAATACTATGCAGCCATAAAAAGAATGAGATCATATCCTTTGCAGAAACATGGATGGAGCTGGAGGCCATATCATACCTCACAAACTAACACAGAAACAGAAAACCAAATAAATGTTCTCACTTTTAAGTGGAAACTGAATGATGAGAACACATGGACACATAGAGAGGAACAGACACTGGACCCAATCAGAGGGTAAAGGGTGGGAGGAATGAGAGAATCAGGAAAAATAACTAATGAGAACTAGGCTTAATACTTGGGTGACAAAATAATCTATACAATAAACCCCCATGACACAGGTTTACCTAAATAACAAACCTACACATGTGACCCTGAACTTAAAAGTTAAATATTATAAAAATAATACCAATTACCTGAAATATTTAAAAATGTACATTAAATACCATAATCATAAAAAAAATTTGAAGAGAATACAAAAAAATGTAAAGATATATCATGACCATGAATTGAAAGAGTTAATATTACTAAAATACATACACTTCTCAAAACTATGTACAGATTCAGTACAATCCTTATCACAATACCAATGACATTCTTCAAAGAAATGGAAAAAACAATCCTAACATTTGTACGAAACCACAAAAGATCCTGAACAGCCAAAGCAATCTTGAGCAAAAAGAACAGAGCTTCAGTTAACACAATACCTGACCTTAAATTATGCTACAAAGCTATAGTAATCAAAACTGCATGGTTCTGGCATAAAAAACAGATATAAGATTACTATAACAGAATATTATAGAAAGCCCAGAAATAAATTCATGCATTTAGGGTAAATTGATTTTTGACAAAGGTGCCAAGAACACACAGTGAGAAAAGGGACAGTCCTTTCAATAAATGGTATGGGGACAATAAATGGTGTTAGAACAATTGGATATCTACATGCAAAAGAATAAAAATAGACACTATTCTCACACCATATACTAAAAAAAACTGTATTAAGTCAACATCAGCTTAAAAGGGATGAAATATTTAAACTTAAAAACTGATATTATAAAACTACTATTAAAAAAAAGAGAGAGAAAGCTCCATGATATTAGTATGGGCAGTGATGTTTTGGGTAGGGCCCCAAAAGAACAGGCAACAAATGCACAAATAAACACATGGAATTACATCAAATTTAAAAGGAATGTTTATAACAAAGTCACTCTTTAAAGATGAGTCTGATTTTCCACAGATTCTTTTCTCCTCTGCTGACCTTATAGATTCTCTAAACTGTTCCTATGTTCATGACATTGTGTTGCTCAATGAATTATGTGACATTTCTTAAAGTGCCTTGATGGGTCCCAGATGAAATATTCTCTTCACAACTTTTAAGTGTTTTTTCATCATCATTAATTTCTATAGACTTGACAGCCAAAGCTATTATGATTGACATTACAGGTAATCTAGTTACATTACTAAATTTACCTCTGGAGATGTGTAGTACAGGGACTGGACTCTATACTAGACTCAGTTGTCATTGACTTGATCTTGGATTATTACATGATTCCTTCCTCATTTTCCCTGACTCATCCCACCTCTTCCAGTCATTCTCCACATTACAGGTAATCAGTGTTAACATGAATAGATTTTTGATGATGCTATTCTCTGCTAACACCTTGCAACTGTTTCCTACTAATCTCAATATAAAAAAACAAACTCTTTAAATGGATTTAAGACCTCATATAATGAGACCCATCTGGCTTTACCTACTTACTTTTTTCCCTTTCCACCCATCCAATGACATACCCCATGACTCAACAACTGTGTGTGTGTTTTTTTTTCATTTCCTTGCACTAGCCATGCCTTCTCTTACCTCTGCATCTTCACTAACACTGTTATCACAGGCCTACACACTTTTTTGCTCATCTCTATCTGTCTGTGTATCAACATGACAGAAAATAATTTTAGGTATATTTGAAAAATTTTAAAAGACAAGCTAATTTTTAGAGGAAATATAAAATAGCTTTATGGTGTCTGAATAGGGAAGGATTTCTTAAACAAGACAGAAAAAATAATAATGTAAAAGATTTATATTTAAATTACACCTATAAACTATATTTAAACTAACATTAAAAAAACTTCTATAGAAAACAAAGACTATATTATTTTAAAGTGAAATACACAAGGTATAAAGACAGTGAAGAGATGTGCCACACCCATAACTGGCAAAGATTAGTGCCTAAAAAAATAATTTCTTACCAATCAACAAGAAGAAGACACCTCTACGAAACAAAAACCTAAAAGGAAAATGTATAAAGGATATGCATAGGCAACTAACAGAAGAAGAAACCTGAATAGCCAATACTTATGGAAAAATGCTTAGCTTTATTACCAGAGAAGTGAAAATTTAAACAATGGTACCTCAAACCAAGCAAACATTTTAAAATGTGTTA